CAGGGTTCAGGGGTTAGGGCTTTAGGGTTCAGGGTTTAGGGCTTTAGGGCTTCAGGGCTTTAGGGTTTAGGGTCCGGCCTTCCTGGCATCTATGTCCGGCAGTCCAAACTCAACGCTCTCGTCCAGACGATCGAGAATCGCCTCAGCGTATCGGGGCCCAAGCAATGCTGATGGGGGGTGATATGTTCCAAGGTAGATACACAAGATCTATATGCAAACCGGATGTACGACATACTCACAATCTCGGGAACTCAGCGAGTCACCAAATACTGGTATCACCACCCTATACTCTCACAGACCCTCAACAAATGCCACGAAGCTGAATCCCTAAACCCTAAATTCCTAAACCCTGAACCTTCAGTTACCGAAACTTTCAACCCAGAACTTTAGAATCCCGCACCTGACTCTGAAATTCCCAAGCTCCAAACCCGCCCTCAAATCCTGAGCCCTCATCCCTAAATTCCTGAACCCAAGACAACCCTTCAATTCCTAAACCCTAAACCCCAACCCCTAATCCCAAACCCTAAACCATAAACCCTAAATCCTAAAGCCCTAACACCCTCAACACCCTAAACCCTGACACCCTAAAACCTTAAAACCCGGAACCCTTAAACACAAAAGCCTTAAACCCTAAACCTCTAAGACCTCAAGCACCAAACCGTCGCATCCTGAGCTCGAAGCGCTGTCCAAGTCATGCGGCCGATTCGTGGCGATGACCTTCAAGTCCAGAGTTTTTTGGGTTAGGGTTTAGGGTTTAGGATTTAGGGTTTAGGGTTTAGGGTTTCGGGTTTCGGGACCTTCCCTGCCAGGCGAAGATTTTTTGGACTTCCGCCCTGGGGCTGTGCAGTTATGTTTAGGGCGTTTAGGGTTTAGGGTTTAGGGTTAAGGGACTGGAGGCTCTTGTGTATTCGCCAGGTCCAAGATATAAGAAAAATCGAGGTGCTCTGGCGACAGGCCGTGGCCCTGAGACGTCGTGTATTTAGTTGCGTAGCTCATCCACAGCTGACTCGCTTCCCATGACTCCGCGCATAAACGCTCACCCCCAATCTGTCAGGGCCCCGGCAAGCATGAACTGAGAGGACGGTGTGCCTTGAGGGAAAAAATTCGCACGCTGGCTTAGGGCTGAGGAACCGGATCCCTGGACGATGCCGTTTGGGGCTCGGGGTTTAAGGCTTCAGGGTTTCCGCTCTGGGTTTAGGAGTTGGGGTTTGGGGCTTCAGATTGCCGCCCCGACCTAGGTAAGGTCTGGGAGGTCTTGTATTGATTTGGAATGAGTCCATTGAAGGGTCTGCGGACATTAGCTTTCAAAAACTGCACACGGAACATGTAGCGACCATGCAACAACGACGCAGCACGAAGTCAGCATTCATCCGATTTTCCTATCCTGGATGTGGACAGCAGTGTGGGGCAGCAAGAGCATCACCATAGGAGAGGACAGACGAGGACATCTGCAAGCGTGTCTCTCTAACTCCCTCTCTCTCGCTGCACACGGACGGAAGTGTGATAGCTCTAGACGGTCGAACTCATTCGTCAAACCCGTCGATTGAGACGCCGGCCAGTATGGTACAGCATCCTCAGCACGGCAGACTCTGCACGAGAAGGGCTCCCCAAGAACTTTCCTCTATCTAAAGCCCAAAAGACCAACACGACATACACCTGGGACTGCTCACTGACGACCTTCTGAGCGGAACCGGACGACAACCTCAACTTGTCACCGAGACCCTAAAGCTGACGCTACCCGAAAAATGGAAAACCTGTTGAAGCTGAAGGGACAATACCAGGCCTACCAGGCCTCCTCACTCTTACTCTCGCTCTCTCACTCTCACCCTCTCCCTCTCATTCTCACTTCATTCTCGCCTCACCCTCTCCCTCTTCCTCTCCCTTTCCCTCTCCCTC